TCCACTGAACCCGAATGGAAGCAAATCCTGACAACTTGTTTCAACCAATCTAGTATCCAACTAACCGCCACTTTTAGTAGTCATTTAAACAAGGGAAGTGCTTTGCGGTTAGGCTGACCCTTAAAAGTAGGGAAACGTCTTTTAAAACGCGAAATTTTGTCGCTTTAGCATACTAGCTTTTATGGCCTATCCTGCAGAAAACAATCATTGGGTGATTTTTTATTAAAATTTTTTGCATAACTGGCTTATACTAATGACCGAGTGCCCTTCAGTGAAATTGCTCATTAGACCAATCAGCACTGCGATCAGCGGCAATTTGTCAATTGCGTCTTCGTCGATTGCCACCTGGGCGGTTTACACCGTGACGGGGTACTCCCGAAATTGCATTTATCAGAAAAGTTCGTGCTTTAGGATTATAATCCTGCTCCTTTAAAACACCAAAACCGTGGGGGCGTAAATGTGACTTGACTACCCCTTTGTCCTATTATAACCTTTTCTCCCATTTTTTTAACCATCGTTAAAAACTTCGCCCCTATTTTAACGACTTTTCTTGTTAGATCAAAGAAAACGCCTAAAAAGGAACCAAAAATCCTCTCTAAACTCCATCGAGTTCTGACTGGAGGCAGCGGTTGTGGAGTAGCAGACAAGGGGGGCACTAGTACGCCCTCCAGTGAGGGTGATTTTGACAGCGCGGATCACCCAAAAACGAACAGTTCAACGCCTGTTCCTCAATGCGAATCGGTAAGTGGTAATTCCTGAGGCTAATCGGTGCATTTGACCTCCCCCGTCATGATTTGACCTTATTTTTAAACGTAGCGATTCAGAATTCCCTTCCATATGGAAGAGCCTTCACTTGAGGCGGGGCTTTGAAGCGTTAATATCTCCATCAGTTAGCAGACCGAACCAGTCGGTCGAAGTCACTTCTTGCAATTTTTTGGTCAACACTTCAATTTCTTTGACGTGGATAAATAAAGCAGGAAGCAGTGTTTAAACGCACGAGAGCCTCGAAACTTGCTATATCGTGCTAAATTTGTTCGCCTTTTGTTTAAATCCGCGATCTCTTTCTCACTTTACGCTGATTGGTGGAGTACTTTTTGCCGGTGTATCTAACTGGAAATCCAGCGTGTGGGGCGATTTTTTGTTTTAGCTGAAGCAGAGGAAGTACTTGTCTTTTTCCTTCTCAAGATATTGTAAAATCTTAAACCACTCAACTTACGTTCGTGGTCGTTCATCTGCTTGAAAAAAAAACCGGACCATAAAAGTCGGGGCGGGAGGCGATTAGCGAAGCAGGTGAAGAGTTAATAATTTCCTAATCCTCGGATTAGCCAAAAGTGGACTTTTTGGCTTTTTTTGTCCGGTTTTTTTTTTCGTACCAAAATTTGCTTTCCCCTGTAAACAATCTTACGCCACAGCATTGTTTGGAGGGCACTTTGTTTGAACGAAATGCTTCATAGGTTTGATTTTGAAAATGTACCAACCTGTTCATTTTAACATGTCTTTGCACGAAAATTTTAATAACTTTTAATAACTTTTTTTTTTCAATTCGTTCGCCCTTTTTAAGGTGGAGATGGGAAAATTTACGAATTACCTAAATTTTACCTGACTCAATTTAAACAAATGCTATGGCTACGAAAAAATAAAGCTGCAATCGGGTAAAAGAGTAGGAAAAAACAAATCTTTGAGAGCTGGGACACCATGATCATGTTCATGAACATCATGAACGGGTTCTTCTGCTCCCTCCCATGTTTCAGACCCCTTGATTGCGAAGGCTGGGTGGCGGAAGGAATCTTCCGTATGGAATAGATGCCCATAATATGGGGAAGATATGTGCATATGGCTAGAGAAAGACATCTTTTGTAGGGGCTTTACAAATTGGCAAAGTTACGTTGGGGGGATCAGCATTTGCCTCCTTCCTTGGAATCGGTGTCGTCCGCTTAGCCGCGGGTTTGGTGGTAACTAACAGCTTGTCACCCAAAAGGTCCATTTAAGTAACCATGTAAAGTCTCTGTGTACTTAATAAGTCACTTCATTTTGCAATGTTTTCTCATTATTCCTTAGTCCTCCAGATTTAAAAACATTAAATACTACTGAAATACTACTTTAATGAATAGAAGTGCTACTTGCTTTTCTTGCTCAGTAGAGCAAAGAAGATTATCTAGACAGAACAGGCCCACGACGAGACCTTTGGGTGAACCAAAAGATTTATACCAACCTTCTATCCAAAAAACTGTGTTGTTTAGGACTGAATGAAATGGATTTTATCGAGGTAAGCACATAGTTTACCCAGAAACCGATAGCTTTTCGGCCACTCTAAATTAAGCATTGTTCTGGACAGATGGCCTTAAACTTTTCTCTGAAATTTGATTTTTAAAGAGCAAATTGTTTTCATGAGTTCCAAAACCCCTTTGGGGAATTTCGTTTTTAGTTTGGAAGGCAAAAAGGCAAGTGTGTGGGATGTCGTTTCACAGGTTAGGAATTCGAAGGTAACGCCTCACCTCCCTGAATTCCTTCTTGACAGCGTAATAATGCTAAGCATGAGGGGATAGTTTGTAGCCACTGTGTAGAGCGAGTGGGTGGAATGACACCGCCGAGGTGGAAGTACAACCGGAGGAGTACGCGGTCATTGGACTTTAAAATACTTCTAACTGTCGTCACTTGGACTGTTTGTAAAGAGCTCTTGCGTCAGCTGTAAATAATGGAGAGACAGGATTGTGGTGGTCCATCCTCTGACTACGCATTTTTCTATACAAGGCAAAAGGCATTGAACTGACTGCGTCATTTCCATCTGTCAGTCGGAGTTGATTTTACAGGCCTTTGGTGGAAGGAGGTGGACCTCAGGCAAAGTTGTCCACAAGGTGATGAATTTCATGTCCTTGATTTGAAGTGATCAAGTCAAGCAAAGTTCCTTCAAAAGCAAGGGTTTTGAGATCTTGCTGATCTGATTTTCGTGGAAATTTTTTTTTGTCTGACTCCTTTTGTACCTATGCCTGATGGATTATCACCAAGCGAGTGAATACTCAAACAAATTAGTCAACCTTTTCCTCTGGTAAATTTTTTGAACAATTTTGCAAAGAGGAATTAAAGGGAAGGAGTCGGGGGTGGGAAACGCTCCATCGGACTCTACAAAGAGTTCACTTCCTTCCTTCTCTATCGCGAGTGAGACATTAACTAATGGACTGCACACCTGAAGACATTTTGTTAAAATGCCTTTTCTTTCTTTTTTCTATCAAATAATGCAGCTCATTTTGCTGAGCTTTAAAATTACGGCGCGTGGATTCTTCTCCGAATGCTGTGCTGCGGAGTGGAAGCGCAAGCCGCGTAGAATGAAATGGTCGCGGAGCTCAGTTGAAGAGTTGAACAAAACTTTTTTGCATAGGAGCCAAATTAGCTAATTTGAACCAAAAAGCACTTTTTTGACAGAAAACAAGGCGATTCAAACACACACCGCTTTCAGCTATACGAATTGTAGAGTCGGCTAAAAACTTAACAACCCGCTTTGAAATCTTCTCCCGAGGGAACGAAATAAAAGCCTGTGCGGTTTCAGTGGAACTTGTTGTAACATGTTGCTGATTGGAGGGGACTTGTGAAACGCACGCGATTGTTTATAACCAGGCCTTAGTCCAACAACAAGACACGCCTTACTCGCTCCATCCTCACTACTACTCACTTATTTTCAACCTTCATGTCATAAAATTTCGGTTACATACGGTAGTCATTGTTTTGGCTTGACGGATTTACAACCCGTTTGTAGGTCGATTTCAAGGTGGCAGAAGCTTCTTGTCCGATTTCACTCGGAAGAGGGGCGGTTGCAGAATGCCCCACTCAAAATATTTTACTTGGACAGTAATCCTTTACAGATCCACCACTTTCGGGTGGATCTTCAATATCTGTCGGTCATGAGCAATCATTTTTTTTTCTATCCACTAGTTAACTCGCCTTAAAAAAGCCTTTGATAAAGGTGACTCTGGGCTGGGAAACAGTTCCCTTGTATCACCATCAATGGCAAAAGTGTACAGAAAGTTAGTCAGCTCCGCGCCGCATGCCCCAAGAAACTTCATAGTTTGCTAGTATTTTAAAATTTGCCTCTTTTATTTTGTAAAATGCAGCCTTTGTAAATTAGTTTGGTGACTAGGGACTTTTCTTGCCTCAACTCCAGAGGATCAAATATATCAGTAATTATCATCTAATGACCCATTACTTCACGTTCAGAAGACTGACCTAGTGTGGACGGAAGATGCAATTGTTTGCCATGACTTGAAGGTCAAACAATAACCTTGGCTGAGACCAGCCTACTTACCCGTCTATCCGCCCCCCGCACCACTTTTCACAGCTACGCAAGCATAATCCCCGACTTAAAAATAGTCATAGATAATCATGAAGAAGATTTGCACCGTAGAACGAGAAGGAGGAAAGGAAGAAGGGAAGAACGGCAGCATTTTTCGTGCATATCTTTCACATCCTTCTGAGGATACTTCTTCAAGATGCAAACGATGAGTGTCACCTCTTTCTTCATTTGACATTCGACAATCATATGAACATATGGTCACTAGGATAGGCAGTTGGGATTAAGGAGAAGGTGGCCGGGGGAGGATTTTTATTTAACTTCTGGAGAAAAAAACCTTGTAAAGGGAAATATAAAACAGCATTTGTCCGGTTTGATACTCTATATAGGCTTATCATTTAATGCAGTTGACGACTTCAAAAAAGGTATTTTCCACAAAGTATTACTCAGTTACAGTACTTTTTGTTAAATTTTGTTGGATTTGGCAAATAAGAGGTGTTTTTTTGCCTCTGAATGCTAAAAAACTGTGACACAATCACCATGTAAATGGAACTGACACGGTTGTGGGTCCCCTATGTAGCACTTTGTTCATTCCCCTTCTAATGATTGAATTCTTTTTACTTTATTGACAATTTGGCATTTTATGATATTAATTGGTTAAATTTCTCACTTTTTAAGCACTTTTTCCATCTTATTTCTCATTGGCTAATGTCTTCAGATTCAAACCACTCAGCGCGAGGCTTCACCATCAGTTTGGCAGCTGCAAAATTCCTTATTGGGCGAGAGTCACAGTGCATTCGTTGACCTTCGAAAACCACCACCACCGCCTCCACCAATCATGAGCTCTACTGCCGCAGTCACCAACACCATCACTACCGCTGGCACCATAGCCAGCATGGCTCTCAAGGTCATCACTTCACCAATGGGTGTGATGGGACACCCAGCACCGCCTCCACCCCCTAAAAGGTCTCCTCAAACGGTGTTGACGGGGTGAGACCAGAAATTTGAGCGTTTTGTAGTGATCCTACTAAGTGTTTTATAATTTTCTTCTCTAACATTTAGAAAAATAACCGTGGAAATATCCATCCTATTCTCTTAGATAAAGAAATTGTAATTTTTAATTAGATATGCAAACTTGTCATCAGAATTAAATGGAGAACTATTGAATGTTAGCTGATCAAACGCCCATCTCTGTGGGAAAACATGGTGAAAAAAATACTCTATAGTAAAAATTTTGCCATCCCATTTACCAGGTTGACTTACTTTGTGAAGAAATGGAAAAGAATTAACTGTTGGGATTGAAGACAATTCGAGGAATAAATTCAGATATACTAAGGCGTACAAAGCATAAAGTTGTATAATAATAAGGGTGGTTGGGTGAAGAGATGAATGGATGGATTGATGGATGGGTAGATACAAAATGGATGAAGGCCAGAACCTGCAGAAATTGGGTTTTATGCCATTGACAATATTAAAAAATTGAGTCGTAGAACCACTTAATTTGGTTCAGTTACCCTAGATAACAAAATTTTGAAGTGACCACCTCTTTACTCTACGATTTTTTGCTATATTGTGGGCTAAATTTGGGAAGACAATCTCTTCCATTATGAGCGATCTTCATTTTAATCAGCTACCAGCGTTATTTTCCATCTTCTTTACCAGTAAAGCATTTCGGACAAAACTTTGCAAGCCAAGATGCAGATAATGCCTTGAATGGGCAAAAAACTCCACCTGCAAATGCTGTCCTTCTCTACTTCATTTGTCGTGGGTATTTCGCAACTTTTCCAGATCCATGAAAACGCACACACAGAGATAGTTGCTGTTGCGGTCCTAGAATCCTGCACTGCAGATGGAATGATACCCTGATCAAATAAAAGTTCCATTCTACTATGCAACCTCCTCAGATCTCTGTCCAACCCTCTTCTTCCCCTTGCCTCAGATCCTCTTACTCAACTTTTGTCTTGGACACCTGTAATTTGGCTGGTCGTCACGCAGCCTAGGGGAGATTTTAGAAAAAACCCCCACAAAGTGATAAACCCTACTCAGGATTATTGTCCTTCCTCATTTCTTTTGCCGTGATGTCGAAGAGTTTTCCTAAAGCACATCTATATAGACGTAATCATGGCAACAGCCTCTTGTTCAGTAGGTGGAATGATTACCTGAAGAGGCAAAATCCCCTATTTAGCCATACGGGATTCTAAAATCACCTCGCAGGTCTCTTATTCTCCTTCCCTTAAATCGTCTTACTTAACTCTCGCCTTGGGCTCATCTAATTTGGCCAGCCATTGCACAGCCTAGAGGAAGCTTTAAAAACCAGCCACGGGGCAGGAGCGGCAGTCATTAGAGTCTTCTAAGGGGAAAAGGCTATTCGATGTCAATGTCGCAGTAGATTGGTGCGAAGCAGGTGGTGACATTCATTCATCGTTAATAAGTGCCAATTTTTTCCACTAATTCCGTATCCATTCACCCATTTATCCTGTATCTATTCATCAATCTGTCTACCCTTATCCATCCCACATCCATCCTGTATCCATCCATCCATCCATCCCGTGACCATCCATCTATTCACCCATCTATTCCATACACCTCTTCCATCCACCTTGTTTCGGTGATACTAATGTGTTTCGTAATCACCTCATTCGGGTTAGGATGTGGCCTCATCGTTTTCCTATTCCTTGAATGTTCCAGTGAGATATCTGTGTGGGACCGAACACAGAGGCCCATCCACAATGGAGCTTGTACCTAATCTGAGAATAACGTTTTCCAGGTGGAATCATCTTTGAGTATGAGAATACCTATATCGCTACTATAGGTTGCAAAGTCCTTTAAATATCCAATGAGCTACAGCCATGACTAAAATGTCTGAAAAGGAGATTTTGGAACTGAAAAGGACGATAAAGACGTAAATAGCTTGTAGGTAAGGCGGATGGCGATGTGGAACTCTACGATTTGTGAAAGATTCAAGCATGGAGGATAAATTTATCGAGCAGCTTGCACTAAATAGGAGCACCCTTCTTGCGATTGAATGCATTAATATTTTACCAAAGGCCGATTTTATCCCAGTCATGTAAAAGTCTACCGCCTTCCTGGTGACTTGAAGTTAGCCACATATCTAGAATTTTTATAGAAATATCTTAAAAGTTCAGCTGTCGAAAGTGTATTATGCCTTTTCACCTAAATCTAGAGGCGGTTGCCGAGGTATAGATCTACAATCTTGCCTCAAGTAGGTATAAATTCGCTTGAAGAAAAAGAGCCGAAAAAGAATGTTGGATGTTCGGAGGGAAGAGGAACAATTCAACTGGTTTGGAAGACACATAATGCGGTGACGGACACACGTTTTCCACTTGTCTTGCTTTGAGCCTCTCCCTTGGCATGCTTTGATACTTCCCTGACCATCACGACAACAAAAACAACAACGGTAGCTACTGTGACATCGTACCCGACTTCAGTTAACTTAATCTTTCTGTTAACCATCCACTATAAAATGGAAGCGATTGCAAAAGTCGGGCTAACGAGTGGACAACATTTCTGCGGCTAGGATTCTTAGTTGATACTCTCCTCAGTTGGATTGGCGAACGTCTTGAAGCTTAGATCTCATCGAGCTTCTAGCTGATGTTATTGGCTGTTAAAGTCTTCCCTAGACATATCTTTACTCGCCGATGAGCATCCGTCAGTCCTTGACAGTTAGGTGGCTGGGTAATGGAAACTACCGGCCAGAAGTTCCATCGCCGACAAATATAACATTTAAGATGGGGATGTGGAAGAATCCTTTCTCTACTTTTTTCGTACGCTATAATAAAGGTCTCTAGTTTATATTTTCTGGGCAGATCATCGTCTCTCTGACTTTGTTGGCAGCTTTCGAGACAACCTTAAACACGGCGTACAATTGTACTTCTTCAGGTCACTTGCATCGCCTTCTGCAATTAGGCAACCGCTTGTGAAGTTGAATAGACTGTAGTCGGAGCGGAAGTTGAGAGGTTTAGGTTTTTTATTGCCTCCAGAGTCCAAAGAGCAATATTTTGTCTCAAAAGCAAATATGTTCCTCTGAACGAACAAAGAAGCATTCAAGCGACATTGTTATGGGAAAACGCAAAACAAATCATCTTTGAATCCCCATTTTTTCTTAAAACTACTATGTTATCCGGGATTTTACCATAAACAGATAAATCTGCTGCTTCCTTATTTCTACTGTACTAGGTCTCTCAGCTCATCTATCACTATGACCTCTGTTCAGGCCTGTCATCTACGCTTCTCACAACTGGCATCTCCTGTGTATGAAATGCATTAACTTTCCGGCATACATGCAATCGGGAACACAGTTGACTTCAGTTACAGCGTAATGTTGCTCCCAAGGGGGTCTACAGCTTTCCCTTTGACCATTTGAACTGCTTGATTTAGTGAACTACACATACTTTCCGCTCGGCAAAAGTGCATAAGTCGTTCATTAGTATCGTGGATATGAGGGCAACAAGTACAAGCACATGCAACATTTAAAGTGCCGCTCGCCAGCGCGATCGATAAAGACTACGCCAGAATGACCTTGAAGGATGCTGGTGGTTTGTCCAAGAGGGTGTTAGAATTGATATTCTACTTATTTCGAGTAAAGAAGCAATTCCAAGTAAATCTGTTGAAAAATTCTTAGGATATTGATTTTTGGGTTTTTTTGCTTGCGGGGATATATAAACATCACACATGTTGCATGAAAAAGTGGGTTTTATAAAGAATGCTAGTTCTATTTTAAGACCAAATACATCCCTCTTTAAGCACATTTTTATTGTAACGAATTATATAGGCATTCAGCTTTATTAGAAATATTTCTTTAGGAAATCTGAAGACGTGGCTCCACAACATAAATGCAACGCTCCTCAACCATCCCCACCACTGCCTCCAGCACCGCCACCACCACCTCCAACTAAAGAAGCCTCCGTGGTGATGCCCACTCCTCATAGCTCTATTTTACAATCCCATCTGCGCGTGAACCCCTCCGCTTCCCTCACTAACGAAGCGTCTTCCATAGACGAGGCTTCCGTTCTCCACATGACTGACCTCTTAAACCGAAAACACGCTTCCGACAGTGTGCGTGAGTACCTTCTTTCAGCAGCCGCGGAAATAGAACATGAAAGGGAACGGAGGTTACAAGCAGCTGCGGTGAATGTGGTAGCATTCAGGAGGAGGGTTCCAGCGGTTCAGAGGCACCCACTATTTGAAGCGACTAGAACGTCAACAATGGGGAATTCTGCCTCGCCTTCAGGAAATACGATTGAAAGGCCGACTTCAGCAGTGGTTCCAAAGGTTTTACCAGCGGAAGAGGAGATTACAATTAGGCTAATAAAGGGTGAGTGAGAGATGGAGAAATTGGTGTTGCAAGACCCTAGTTTTGAAGGTCATATTGAAGAACGTGCAAAAGGTCATGATGGAGGTTAGTAGGCTATGCATCCACTTAAATATTATCCTAGACCCCGTCATTTGCGCTTTCTGTGACTACGCTTTTAACTCGGTCATCAGAAAGTAGTCGAGCGAAAGTAAATCGTCTTTGAGGCAAGAGGGAGGGGTATGCATGGTTCCTTAAAGGGTGATTACTTTAGGATTTCGAAAAGTGCTTGTGCATCTCGTGGAATCTGAAAGGACCCACAACAACGGCTTTATTTCCGGCATGTAGTGCTTTGAGCCAGAGCAGCTTAAGCAGACACATTTCATTTAAATAGTTCACCTTGGGTTTTCCGCATTCTAGTATAAGAGAAAGGTTATTAAATAATTTTTTCTAGACTAAGTTCTGGAAACCCAAAGGCGGTAAGATGACCAATTTACGCAGGATTTGCCAAGGAGGAAGAAATGCGTTATATATTCTAAATACCATCAGTTTTCTCCTTCATATTCTATTAATCTAAGGAGAAAATTAATAGCAATTAAGTGATCATGTAGTTGGTGGATCAGGTATCGTTCGAGGAGGTCAAAATGTGACCCGCCGACACCTTTAGCCAATCAAAATAGAGGTCTAAAACCAGTTCATTTCCTATTGGTCGAAGAATTAGGAGTTGATTTAGCTGACTCGTACCCCGCACTAGCTTCTTATCATAAATTTTAAACTTGAAATTGAGGCAAACTTTGGAGAAAATATCTTTTTCAGCAGGGTGTTTAGAATTCTGAGCGTAGTTAAAGAATATTTTGCAACACCATTTCACTCCTGCAAATGCGATGAGGAAAAATCGCTTAGTTGCAAGAAGGTTCTTGATCTACTTTTCTCTTTCAAATAATTGTCTTCCCCTACCACCTATAATCCTATCTAAATGGAATGTAAGTTGGCCTCTGGCATCAACATCATCGCCAGAAAACACAGGCTTGGACACCGCAGATCCTGTTTTACTTCTACCCAACTGTCTATTCTATATTTCATGTGGGTTTGTGATTGTCTAATGCTGAGACACCAAGAAAAGATGATAGTCACTAGAAGGTGTAGTATTATGAGAATGTGAGGGATGGGGACGAGACAGCATCTCCTCCCCTCCCCTCCCTCCCTCCCTCCCTTCCGTCCGCTATCCCATAGTGTGAATCTCCTCGGGATTAAGTTTTGAGGCATACTTTGACTTGTGAAACCAACAACAGTGATTTCCTTCAACTGACTAAATAATTCCTACCAATTCAAGTGAAGAAAAGGGCAATATCTCATGCTACTGAGGTCTACCGTTTCTTTATCCAGATTCTACCACATTTGTCCTCTCGTTTTTAGGAATGGATAGCCTTCTAAGACATGCGTGGTAGGTAGTGAATGAGCTATGTGTGGATAACTAATCTCCTGTTCGTCCGCCTAATGGTACAATTCGGCAATCCAGCAATTAATTTAACGAAAGGCACCATTTGTTTGGTGGAATTAAAAAGAACTACAATATGTTTGACTTTTAAGCCATTTGTTGTCTGTTAATGCCTTCCATGGGAAATTTGTGTGTCTGGGAGGTTTGACGTCCTGTTTGATTAATGTGGATGCATCCGGTTTATTTCGTCATCCACACAAAACGTTCGTCAAAGCCCGCCACATTCATATGGGGAAAATGACGGCCCCCGTGGAAGTGCTGCATCACCTGCCCTTCAGCAAGGCATCGCCAGAATCACCCTCTTACGCTTTAGAAGCCTCCAGAGTTTACAAGAGGTCATTACATGGAACTTGAAAGAGGAACCGCAGACGTATTTTTCCCCTGAATTGTGAAGAGCCATCAGTAACATAAAAACACATTCAATCGTCTCTGCAGGAAAAAAGCACGAGGTCTTGCTGATCCACCCACTAAATTAGACGGTTTATTTCTTGAATTTTGAGTTCTTTTTAAACAATTACTAAGAGTTGTGCAAACCAGGCTTTTTTAAATCATGTCTGCCCATCAACATACTGCGTAATTCGAGACAGGAAGAAGAACGCAAAGCGATTGTTCCCATTTCTGTCCCGAATTTTCAACAAAAACATTGCTAAAATCTTTAGAGGGTTAAATTCAGTTTTTAAATTAACAGACTCTCTTATTCTCCCCCTTAAAATTGAGGAAGACACAAATGACTAACATTAATCGCACAACACGCACTACTCATTTTACTTAAGCGACCTTCAAATTTAGTAATTTATAAGCAACAAAATGAGGTCTGAACCTTCTCTCCGAAGAGACTATTCACTATTTGTATCAGCATAAGACCAAAGCCCGCGGTGATTGTACGGCCTATACCGTTAACTTGTTGTGACGCTGAACTTCCCTCTATTCTGCACCTCCTCCCCGACGCTTTCTGTAATCGTTTTTTTCTGCACTGACCCAAATAACGCAGTCAGTGCTTTAAAATCCTCCAAAACTTCTCATAAAGGTGGAAATACATCTGAGTATAAGAATAGTGGTGGATTCTATGGGTTTTAATGGATTCAAAATTGCATTCTCTTTGAACGCCAGTTAGTGGAATTTTCCTGGCTTCGTATTGTTCAAGACAAGACGACGCTCTTCAGGGAATACATTTAATAAGTCAGTTGCCAGCCATGGAGACCTTTTTTCCAGAAGCAGGGTTGAGAGCCGAGCTTTGCGCTGCTTGATTCTAGTTGGTACTTCACAATTACTTTAAAACACGGACAACATCGGGGCTCCAACCGGAGTAATCAAGCACTGGAGAATGGAAAAAACAAGGGCTTCTGCTCTGGCAAAGTATGTAAAACTAGAGCCTGGTATCTGTACACATGTCTGGCGGGTAGAATTAGGACCCATCAGGCGCTCAGACTGTAGAATATCCCAGGGGTTTTAAGAAAATTGAACTTATGTAAGATTCGAAAGCTCGAAGACAGAAACACGATTAACGACGTTAACGGTGGTCTCTGGCCATTCAAATAATCACTTAACGAGAATTTCACCAGGGCGGCATTAACACCCTACTTATGTGATTTCAGCTGCCGCCGGTTTGGGATTTAGTTTAACTACACGGGAGGTGTTTTTGGGCGTCTATTCAACAGACCACGCATCCTCGGCCAAAACACAGCTTCAACAGTCTACCTCGAAGCCGCAACACCAAACTCTCCATTTGATGCCAATTTATGGAAGAGCAGTTTGCGTTAAGAGCATAATTCCCGGTGGAGTGGCTCTAAAAGACGGTTCCCTACGAGTTGGAGACCGCCTTTTGAAGGTGAGCTATTCGCGTACTTGTCTCGCTTGGTTGACATTTGCCTCAAAGGACAGATAGAGCTCAGTTCTACAGGAAAAGAGGGTTTTAAATAGCTAAAGCAGTTTTTTGGGAAAATATGTTTCCTTTTTCGTAAAAAATCACAAATAAGCATCGAGGTGTATTAAACATAAATGCTAAGATGTTGCGAATTAGTTACTCTACTGAAATAAATTAAGTACCCATTATTCTCTTAGGTTGATCGCGAAGACGTGTCCACCAAATCCCAGGCGCAGATAGTCTCCCTCCTTCGTGTAAAACCTGTCGGCTCCGAGGTGGAACTTGTCGTCAGACGATCTCAGTGGTTGGCTTCCACGACAATGCCGGCGTCGACGTTGAAGAACATCGACAACGAGCCTGCATATCGAACATTGAGTCCTGGTTCGAGTCTGGGCACTTGTGGTTGCATGTCACCACAATGTCCAGACTACGCACTCCTTCGAAGTCATCGAATGGGCAGCGCGGATGACTCACAACTTGGGAGTCATTCTGAGGTGGTGCTTTATTTATATCCCCTATTTACTTTAACTCCAAATTTGCCTTTTGTGTGTTCTTGTCCTTCCGTTGTGTCCTCGACGATTCAGTTAAACACAGTAGATGACCTCATTTTATGACTTTTGTAATGTATCTAACCAACAAATTCGGGTTTGTTGTTTTCACCAGGTCATCTCTGTGTAGATCATATCACGAGATACTAAAAACGCCTGCATGTTAGCATACGTGAGACACCTTAACAACAGAGAGCTTTCGCTCATCCGTAAACATAATTTTGGAGGCTTCTCCCTATTCGTGGACACTTTATTTACCCCATTGTATTATCTCCTAGCGATTTGAAAAATGTGTTTACCTGAAGCTGGACATTCCCCTGCTGCCCGTGGAAGCGCAACTCCCTGTGGAGACTGATTTGAATGGCGGTGGCAGTGGGGTTGCCATGAAAATTCGCAACCGTCTGGCAGCCATGAGATTGGGCGTCAGCGTGCGCGAGGATCTGCCCGAGTGGTATCCCAATTCCGCTACTATGAGTGGAATTTTTGTCAAGGGGCTTATCGAAGGTGGTGCCGCGCACGCGGTGAGTTCAGCAAAAATGTGTTGACTTGTTGTGGCTATTAATTTGTGTTATTCAGACTAAATAATGCTGACGAGATGCAAACGACTGATTTCATCTAAGTGGAATTTTAATATCCTTTTTATCATAGGATGGTCGACTCCGCGTGGGTGACGAGATACTCGAGGTGAACGGCATATCCTTAGTAAATACTCCCAATCCTCTGGCGCTGCTGCGTGCAGTGCTCAAACAGATCTCTTCCCTGTCACCCCTCAATGCAACCCCCAACTCCCCTTCCAACTCTTTCAACGACCAAAGTGCCGCTTTTCCTGTCGTTCGTCTCCTAATCGCCCGACGCGTACGACATAGGCGTTCCGCGTCTGGTCACACTGTAAGTCCCACCAATTCACATATTTTTGCCACTGGTAGTAGTAATCAGTAGGATGTACACTTTATCCTATAAAAAATACAAGATTTACGAAATAAATAAAAAGCTAACACTTATTGTGTCAAATTTAGGGGTGTTTTCACCTAATTTAACGAGCGGAAAAGAAGGAATTATAACTATATTTTGGCTTAATCATTATCTTTTTTCCTCGCATCACCCAGCTACCCTCGTATTGTCTAGAGAGGCGATAGCAGTGTCAATTATTTGAAAAAAGGTATTTCCATTTCTTTCACATTCTTTCTTTCCTCTCGCCTGCTTGCAACGCTTTTCGTCTGTTTTCCTCTTTCGCGCTTTTTTTGGAAAAGTGATTTCTGCGGCCTAAGAGACAGTAAGCAGGGCTTAGACTCTAAAGTAATGAAAGTGTTTTGTTAACACGACCAAGTTGCCCTCAACATTTTCTTCAAATAAAGGGGAAGGGGCCGAATTTTTAGTTGGGTCTATAAACTGAAGTATTCACTTGAACATTGTGAATCGCCTTTGCCTCGCAAGCAAGCCAAAACAACTCCGTCATTTGAGTTAAGACAAATATGCCATTTGTGGTTAAGAAACCATTACATCCGATTCTTCATGGCTATGACACATCTTAAATGAACTCGAGCACCTTTTCGTTTTATTGTCAAATGAGTAAGTAAAACTAATAAGTGCCTTTTTTCAAATTTAGGACCCATATTTACATTTTCATGTTTAAACGTAAGATATTTGAATGTCGTCGTTTCTAGGGTTCTCGCAGCATGAATCCTCATTTATTTCTATTGCTTTTCACTCACTAAAATAATGGAGCATGAGCACTGATTTCTTTTCGAATATTATTGAATGAAGACACAAATTTGCGAATAATTTGGGTCTCCATTTACCTTTTCCACTACTTGAATATCCCCCAAGAGCAGTAACTTTTTGGCAATAAAACGGTTACTTAAATATGTTTAAGTACGTGCGCTTTTACCCTCTTCTGGCATGTTAATCTTAACGATTACCACTCTCAACGCTTGCACTGCCTCGTGGTGAAAGAAACATTTCCGCTTAAATGTCCTTTTTTAAATTTTAACATAATTTAAGCTTTTTCTTTGCTCTTTCCTCCCAAAAAAGATCGGTTCCATTTTCGGGCTAGAAACTGCCTCCACTACCGCCTCCGAAGCGGCTCCACGAATGGACATTGGTAGGAGCTCTGCTTTGCTCCTCTCGTCACCCAATAGTAGTACCATGGAGGCGTCGTGCCACGCACTTCGAATCTCCGCCGATGTCCATGCCACCAATACAACCGCCACCACCGCCTCATCTACCACCGAAGCGGTTGTCAAGATCAATGTCGGTGGTCTTGAGGACAATGCATCTAGTCCGTCGACCTTGAGAAAAAAGAGAGTAGCCCCCAATCCCATCCGGAATGCACCCCCGTTATCACAGCCTTCAAAAAGTGCCGCTGTGTCGCAGATGAAAAAGGCCTCTGCTGAAAAGTGGTGAGTCTTCAAAGTGGTGATGATTAAGAGTGAGCTAGTTAAGGGTTTATTTAGCACTGTGGCACCAAAGCGGTCTTCAAAGGAGTAGGCTTACCGTAATCACAGAGGGCTGGGAACTGCATCATCTGTTCCAGCTTAAGTGAGCACTTCTAAGAGAAGCTCCCTAATAAACATTTTTGGACTAAAATTTTACCAGCATAGCCGATCGTACCACAAAAGCATTTAAAAATACACACGTGGTGGCTTTATAAAATACTAACTACTGACTTGATTAAGTAGACACAATCATCCCTCTACTTTTTAGATCTCCCATCCCAACGAGTATATGCATTGCCTGTACCCATCAAAGCCCTATGCAAATTGTCAAGTATATATCTCTATCAGTCTACATTCCTTTCATGACAGTCCTCCCACCCTCTCCCGCCCCATTGTACATTTCTGCACTTCATTTGTCGATTGATAAGAAGTATGCAACTTACATATATATTTTGATGCAACAAAAGTGATGCTGTCACTAACTCCTGTAGTACTAAGTTGAAAAGGAAAACTCCGTGACTTCTTCTTCTTCTTATCTTTGATGCTCAAACGATTACAACGAGTAGAACTAGCCTTGACTGAAACAAAAAAATTATAAAGAACAGAGATTAAATGATTTTCCCCTTTCAACCCCCCTCCCCCTCTCTACCATCCAAGGTTCTTATCTCTTCCATTTTACCACACACTTCTGTCAATAAGGAAAAAAACGAACCAACTAAAAGGAAGATGTCCGGGGTTGGAAAATGACTACCTGTCCTATTCACCTTCGGAAAGTGCAATAATGTAGAAAGTGCTAATTTGAAGAAAGAAAAGTGGAGAGTGGAAAAGTATTTCTGGGCAAAAAGGCTTCAAGGGATTACAAATAGTCTTCTACACTTGGTGACGTGTCAATTTTCTCCTCTGAGCTTGACACCACAAGCCCCGTAGATAGTTGACGCTACT